TATATATATATATATATATATATATATATATATAATAATTATTATTATTTATTATATCTTATTGACAGAAAATGAAGAATCTATTGGAGAAGGCCAAAGACGACGAGGCGGATGCAGAGCTTCACCAGTACGAGTCCGACGACGACGACGAGGTAAACTCCCCACCAGCTACCCAGCCAGCTAGCTAACTGACAAACAAGCTAGCTAGCTAGCCAGCTACCTCACCAGCTAGCTAACTGGCTAGCTAGTCAGCTAGCTAATCAACTATATAGCTGACTCCCAGGCTTGCTTGCCAGCCAGACAGCTGCGTAGATAGCCATCTACATAACCAGCCAGCCAGCTATCTAGGCATCTAGGTAGCTAGCTAGCCAACCGGGCTATCTATCTAGCTATGTAGCTAGGTAGCTACCCGAGGTTATCTACTTGCCCAGCCAGGGACACAGAGAAAACGCCGTTGCTCCTGACGGCTGCTGCTGCTGCGCCTGTTGCTGCGAAGCTCCCTGGCATTCAAATCAGTTGCTGTTGCTGCTGCTGCTGGTGGTGGTGGTATATTTAGGAGGGTGGTGAGGAGAAGGGTCAGGACGGGCAGACTGGGGGCGGCCTTGGGGCTTCTGGGGCCCTTCCGTCCGACCCAAGAGGGGCAGCTGCAGTGGCGAGAGGCCAGCAGGGTGGCCCCTTGCAGCAAGATGCAGCAGCAGGAAGCAGCACGCAGCAGCTAAAGGATACACAGGAAACTCTGGAGGCAAAGGTTGTTCGCGTCATGCAGCAGCACATGGGACGAATGGCTGTAAAGGTGCAATCCTATACCCTAAAGCCTAAGCACAGCTCTACACCCTAAACTCTACTGCAGTCGCACCGCGATAGAAGCGCGCTTTTCCCGCTGCTGTGTGGCTGCTGCAGGACTTCATGAGCGCATTTAAAGTGAAGGAGAAGAACGATGACTTCAGACGCATCCAAGTAGGGTTTAGGGTCCATTAGGCTTTAGGGTTGAGGGTTTAGGGGTTATTGGGGGCAGAGAGGTTAGCATCCACATCCAAGGCTTCACTTTCAGAACATTGTCTGCGGGTCGGCACTTTTGGATCTAGGGTTTAGGGTTTACGGTTTATTATGGTTGTTTGTCTCTAAGGCGGTAGTACACAAAGTCTGCAAGATGGAGGCAACGGAAGACAAACAGAAGTTTATAATCCTCAAGCCAGAGTTCAGGTTGTAGAACCGAAAAAACAGTATTTACCACAGGGGGGGCCCATAGCGGGCTCGCAGTTGGGCCTCCCCCGCTGGGGGCCACTCGTCGGGCCCCCCAGGCAAGGCCCCCCGCCCCCTTGGCGTACCTCCAGTAGAGTCTCACAGGGGGGTGTCTCGTATACGTCTTCATGAGTCCCTGCAGTTGGGGGCCCCCTTAGGGGCCCCCCCAGTGGGGTCCCTAAAGGGGGGCCCTGGGTTGCCTGAGGAGTTTTCTTGTTACTGTAATTGAGGGGCTGCTGCTGGTGTTGCAGTTGTAGCATGCAGCAGAGGGTATTTGTTTCGACTAGTTGGATGTAGAGATGCAAATATACTTTTCTTTTTATTCTCTTCTTGGACTATACGCAGACAAATAGGATTTATCTGATCGGGCTAGAGGGGAGGGGGAGCTTACCGGGGTGGTACTTGAAGGGCTAGGGACTCTAGTAGGGTTTCTTAGAAGCTGTAAGTGCGCAGACTACATTCAATTTTTGCCTGCAGTTAAAAGCTGCCTAAACCCTTTGTGGGGGGGGAGGTGGCAGCCAGTAGAGTGTGGTGCTGAAGATACAATTAACCAGTCAAAGAGACTCTTTACACTGAAGTCATGTACATTTTGCCCTAATGATAAATGATTGATAACTTTGTACCGTGAAAATAACTTAAATACGAGATTAAGAAGACTGTCCCCAGCGGGACGAGGAGAAATGGATTCAGATCCCTATCTTCTCCGATGTTTGCTGATGTTTGCTCATAATTGCACGCAGTTTGTTTTACTTTAAATGATTTATTTTAAAATACTTGTTTTTTCAATCTAATTTTCCTTTTTTTTTTGTAACCTTGGTGAGCGTCCGGCTGTGGCTGGAGCCGGGTCGTCATCGCTGCCGCTTGCAGCGGTGTTTTTGGGTTTTCTTCCTCAAAAGGATTACAGGAGGAAAAACAACTAAACTTAATGAACTAAGTTATTGAAGTTAGTAAAACATTTACTGACTTTTTAAGAGAAGAACAGCGGCTATATATACGCGTGCCTCCACCTCGTGGCTCGATCCGCCTACAACAGGGTCACCTGCCTTCCTTTGGGCCACATGTTACCTCTTTTGGTTCTATTTAATTATTAATTTATATTTATATTTTTTTAACGCTTCTTCTAGTATTAATTGACCTCAAAGACATCTTTGGACGCACTGACACTTACCTCCCTCCTCTCTGCCCGCTCGGCTGGGGGGGGGGGGAAGGGGAAGGCCCCAAATGCGGGTTTACTTTGGGGTTTAGGGTCTAGGGTTTAGGGTTTGACGATGGCTGTGAAGGGAAAAGCTGGACAGCCTGCAGCGGCGAAAGCAGCAAGCGCCCCTCCAGTTGCTGCAAGACCTCAAGAGATTGGCCCTCGTAGGCTTGGAGCTGCGGCTGTTGCTGCAGCAGACAATGCGCCTGCTGCTGCTTCTGTCCCCTTCAGGTACTGCATTGCTGCAGTTGTCCCACAGCCTGGGGGGGGCCTCCCAAGCATCAGCAGCAGCACACCCTCACCTGCAGCAACAGCAGCAGCAGCAGCAACTGGAGAGAGTGGGGATGGCAGCTCTGCTGCTGAGGAACAAGAAACAATAGACTGTTCGGCTTTGATGCTTGCTGCAGCAGAAGCAGCAGATGCAAAAGCAGACAGCCAACCTCCTGCTTCTGTGAGGGTAACAACAGCAAAGCTCTCTTTGTTGTTATCACGCTCCGAGTTAAGGTCAAGAGTTAGGGTTTAGGACTTAGGAGCTGCAGCAGAAGCACCTAGATATCAGTGTTCAGGGTTTAGCGTAAAGGGATCAGCGTTTAGATTCGTTCTTTTGAGGTGGTTTCCTCGAGAGACTTTTCGCGCTGTCCTTTGGGATTCTAGCCAATTTAGGCACAAAAGAAGAAACGGTCTAGAATCTAGGGCCTAGAGTTTAGGGTTTAAGGTTTGGAGATCGGTTTGTGGCTGTTAGGGCCCTCACGCGTGCCGCGTAGTGTTTGCATGCGACGAAGACATCTTCGCCTACGGAAAGAAGAATTCTTTGTTTTCGGATAATAAGGCAAAATCCCTAGCTGACATCAGTGTGAGCATTTAGGGTTGAGGAGCTAGGGTTTAGGATTTTGGGGTTTCGGGTTTATGGTTCAGGGGTGGAGCTTGAGGTTTACAATATGCTCGGGGGCCTCTGGGGTTTGCAGGAAGAATCGATGAAGGCTCGCCGCTTGACGCTTGGCACTTTGTAGGCTTTAGGGTTTAGGGTTTAGGGTGTGTGGTTCTGCACAGCCTGCAGAAGTGGCACGAGTGATATCCGTGTTGTTTAAGGAGCACGAAGCAGCAATAAGACAGACGAAGGCAAATGCTATGGTAGGAGATGCCTCTGTGCAGCAGCAGCAACAACAACAACAGCAGCAACAGCAGCAACAGCAGCAGACAGCAGCAGGAAAGGATCCCCTGGATCTGCTGTTCTGTCTGTGGGGTTTCAACTGGCAGTCGCCGCTACTGCTAGCACTCGAAGCAGCAAGTTTAAATTTAGGGTTTTTCATTATTGTTGCTGCTGCTCGTCCTAAAGAAGCAGCAGCGGCATTTGTTGCAGCACAAAGCAGCAGCATTGCTGCTTTAATAGAAGCGACAGAAGCAGTTGACTCCGAATTCGCTGTTGATCTTCTCGCTCTCCAGGATTGTAGCAAGTCCGCATAGGGTTTGGGGCCTAGGGCTTGCGGTATAGCGTTTAGGAATGAAGGTTTATTGTGGATGACTTGGGATTTAGGGTTTGTTGCCTCGGGGTGGCCGCTTAGGTCCAATTGTATAGGGTTTAGTGTTTAGGGTGTAGGGTCCAGGGTTTAGGGCTTGTGTCGTCAGGAAGCACCAGGAAAACCCTGATTTGTTTATTAGTCGTCTTGTTGCTGCTGCTGAAGATGTCAGCAGACACCGCGAGCAGTACAGACACTTCAAGGAGACCATTCCTACTTTGTCATTTAAGGTTTTGCAGCAAGAAGCAGCAGCAGCAGCAGAGGCTGCAGCAGCAGCAGCAGCAGCTGCTGCTGCTGCTGCTGCTCCTGCGTCAGCTCCGGGCTCCTCAAAGATTGCTACAGCTCAGCAACAGCAGCAGCAAAGGCGGCAAGGGGCAAAACGCGATGGGGCAGATGCAGCAGCAGCTGTGGACCACGCTGCTGTTGCTGCCGCTGCCGCTGCCGCTGCTGCTGCTGCTGCACACTCGGCAGCAAACAGAGAGGACAAGAAGCCCCAGTACGGCAGCGCATGCTTCCTATATTTTGCTGCTTCTTATTCCGTTTCTTTTTGCCTCTAAGTATGCCTTACTCGTGTCCACTACACTGCTGCGACAGTATGCCCTCAATCTGGAGCTGCTGTTGCTGTTGCTGCTGTCTGCTGCAGTATTTACTTGTCGCTAGCAAATTCTGTCTCCCCGGAGGAGACATCGGTGAGTTTGCTGCTATACTGCATGCTGCAGCAGGCAGCAGCAGATGCAGCGGCTAGGTGAGTCTTGTCTCATGCCCACCTAGTGTTGCTGCTGCAGTTGCTGCTGCTGCAGTTGCTGCTGCTGCAGTTGCTGCTACAGGTGTTGTGTTCGCTGCTGCGCTGCTGTGGGGTTTCCAGGCGAAAGCAGTCTGTTGCCGCTGCTCCCTCTGAGAAGGCCGTGGAGGAGTGTGAGCAGCAGCAACAGCATCAGCAACAGCATCAGCAACAGCATCAGCAGCAGCATCAGCAGCAGCATCAGCAGCAGCATCAGCAGCAGCATCAGCAGCAGCCACAGCAACAGCAGCAACAGCAGCAACAGCAACAGCAGCAGCAGCAGAATCCTCCTGAACAAGAGCAGCCGCAACACGAGCCTCAGGAGCCTACCGATGAGGGGGTGTGCGGGATCGTACTCGATCCCGATCCCAACAAGCTGGCATCAGCAGCAGCAGATATTGAAGCATCAGAGGCATCTCTTCCAGTTGGTTATCTACAGCAGCTGCAGCTACAGATGAGGCCCCCCTTGAGGCAGTATGTGACAGCGTGCACTCTGCTGCTGGTGTTGCCGCCGCCGCCGCCGCCGCCGCAGCTGCTGCTGCTGCATAAGGCTGTGCTGTGCACTGTCTAGTGATGCTCTTATATTTAGCCCTCTGCTTCTGCGGAAGCTGTGGGAGTCATGTTGGGGGGTGCTGTGCCCAGCGGTGCACTTGCTGCTGCTGCTGCACATGCTGCTGCTGTTGCACTTGTTCCCGCTGCTGCCCTTGCTGCTGCTGTGTTTTTTCCTCCTAGGTTAGCTCTACAGTGCCGCGTGTATGGATTTTTCCCGCAAATGCCCGAGGCGAGGATTGAACATTTGCTGCAGCTGTTGGCATTTAAGCAGCTGCTTGCTGCTGCTGCTGCAGGATGCAGCAACAGCAACACCGTCAGCAGCAGCTCTAGCTGCAGTGGGGCTGTTGCCCCTCTTGAGTGCCTTTGCAGCACTCGATGTGTGCGAGAGATGATCCCACGGGATCGGTTTCCCCACACCCTTGGGTGTCTTCTCCGCAGCAGCCAATATACGCTTGCTGGCTCCCTGCTTCAGCGTACAGGCACCTTGCTGCTCGCTGTCTTCCATAGGTAAGTCCTGGCTCTGCTGTTGCTGGTGGTTGTGGTGTTGGTGGGAGGGTGGAGGGTATATGGGGGTATCTGTGTTGCGCTTTTTCTCTCTCTTTTGTTCATTTTTTGTTTATCTAGTTGTTTATTCCCTATTTATTTATTATTTATTATTTATTGTTACTCATTATTATTACATAGTAATTCTCTGTTTACCACTATTTCTTGATTATTATTTATATATTATTTGCTGCAAAGCCGGTTAAATCTATCATCTATATTCATACGCTCCTTTACAAAGAAATAAATATATTGAATGATAGTGTTTTTATGCTTACTCGAAATACTTGTTAATTAGCAGCAGCAACAACAGCAACAGCAGCCGCATCAACACGAAATGCTGTATGTCTTTTAGGGCGAGCGGCTGCAGCATATCGCGAAATAAATGGAGCTGTTTGTCTTCCTTTCCTTTAAGGGGTTTACGTCAATTTAGAAGTCTTTTATTAAATAATTCAATTGCCATTAAAGACATCCTTTGTCTTGTAGATCTGCCGCAGCAGACACACGGCGCCCTCAGCAGCAATGAGGTGTATGTACACCTCAGTGCAACAGCAACTGTGGTCGTCTCCATACATGCAGCAGGCGCAAACTTACGCTGTCCATACACCTCAATTGAGGCAGACCCAGCTGCTCTACAGCAGAAGCAACCCCTTAAATATACACCGAGTTAGATTACACACAACCCTTTAGCCCTACTAAACACTACAACCTAGTAAACACTAAGCCCTAATATACCGAAAACCATGAGACGCCTGTTCCATTGGCAGACGAGAGAAAATATCCGAGTTGGAGTGCTGCTGCTGCTCTGCAGGACGAGGTGCTGCTGCTGCTGCAACTGCTGACGCGGAAGCAGCAGCTGCAGCAACAGCAGCAGCAGCAGCAGCAGCAGCTACGCCATTGCCAACGAAGGAGTGGAGAGACTGTCGCGTGCTACTCCCTGAAGCTGTTTGCTCCCTCCGCAGAGATAACTGTCTCTTGAAGGCATGCAGCAGCTGGGCTGCAGCAATAGCAGCTCTCCGCCAGCAGCAGCAGCAGCAGCAGCAGCAGCAGCAGCAACAGCAACAGCAACAGCAGCAGCAGCACCAACAGCAACAGCAACAACAGCACCAACAGCAACAGCAGCAGCAACAACAGCAACAGCAACAGCAGCAGCAGCAGGATGGGGATAAGAAGCATAATGTGCCATCTATACAGAGCCTCGACCGTGCTTCCGATATATGTGCTGCTGCTGAACAGCTGCTGCTGCAGCAGCAAATGGCTCTCTTTGCTGCTGAACTTTGTGGCGGCCACCGCCTAGTTGTTCGTCTTACATCTGCCGCTCTCTTAGAGTACTTGCAACAGCAGCAAATGCAAGCCAAAGCAGCAGCAGGAAACTGCAGCAATGAGGACGTGGAACAACAACAACAGCAGCAGCAGCAGCAAGAACAGGCTACCCAACAACAGCAGCAGCAAGAAGTCCCGCAACAGCAGCAGCAGCACAACAAAGCACAGCAGCAGCAAACGAAGCAGCAGCAGCAACAACGAAAACCCAAGCAGCAGCAGAAGGACGGCCAACCACAACAAGACGATCAGCAACAGCAGCAAGACGATCAGCAACAGCAGAACCAGCACGACCAGCAACAGCAACAGCAGCAGCAACAGCAGGAAGCTCCGTTGCCGCAAACTTCCAAACCAGATTTCCAACCAACTTCTCCTTTAGATGTAGTCGTGGAGGTGTCAAGCCCAAGCGGTGAGCCTCCGCTGCTGCTGCTGTTGCAGCTGGTGCAGCCTGTGCTGCTGGTGCCCGGGCGGGCGGTGCCTTGTCTGCTGGTGCTTGTGCTTTCGCCTCTCGCCCCTCCTTTTTAAAGCTAATCTCTCTGTCTATCTGTTGCTGCCGCTGCATCTGCAATGATTGTTTGCTGGTGCTGCATGCGCAGGTCGGCTGCTGCAGGTGTCTGCCGATGGGTCTATGTGGGAACAAAACCCTAACGAGGTACATAGACACCTCTCTGCTTCCTGGAGGCCTGAGGAGACTGCAGAACATCAGCAGGAAGTATCTTCAGCACCAGTAGCAGCAGCGGAAGGAGGAACAGGAGCAGGTGTACCAGGTACTGCTGCTACGGCACATGCTGTGGCCACATCAGCAGCAGCAGCAGGTCCGTCGAGTGTTCCCCCGGGTTCATCATCCTCAGCATCATCCTCAGGAACAACAGCATCCTCAGCAGCAACAGCATCCTCAGCAGCAACAGCTGCAGCAGCTGCAGCAGGCGGTTCTCCACTCCCACCTCCTACATCAACATCTACAGCAGCAGCAGCAGCAGGAGAGGAGTGCATTACTTCTGATTGCATGCATTTTGGGGCTGTTCGTTTATTTTTTGGCTGTTTCGAAGACGTCGAAATTTTGCGTCGTTTTCTTCCAAATGGGACTATCGCAAAAATTACTGCAACAGGAAGAATTGAACTCTTCTTACCCGTAAGAACCTCCTGCTGTTGCTGCTGCTGTTGCTGCTGCTGCTGCTGTTGCTACTGCTATTGCTGCTGCTGTTGTTGGTGCTGCTGCTGTTGTTGGTTGTGGTGGTGGTGGTGGTGGTGGTGGTTGTGGTGATGGTCCTGGTATTGGTGCTTGCTGCTGTTGTTGGTGGTGGTGCTGCTGTTGGTGTTATTGCTGCTGCTGGTGAGGCAAGTTCTTGTGAGGCCGATAAGGAGGCTGAGAATGCTGTAGATGGTGCTGCATTTGTAGCTGCACTAGCTACTGCTTTTGCCGCTACTGCTACTGGTGCTGAACTCAAGCCCACAACGCGTTGTCTCAACTGAGGCGGTGCCTCCCATTGTGCTACCGCCAGAGGCAGCTGCAGGAATAGCAGCACCGCCACCAACAACAGCAGCAACACCAACAACGGCAGCAGCAGCAACAGTAGTAGTAGCAGAAGGAACACGAGCAGTAGGAGAAGCAGCACAATGTCCCTGTTCCTGTGGCAGATATTTAACCTCCTGCTGCTTTTGGTGCTGATGCTGCATCTGTTGTCCTTGCTCTTGTTGCTGCTGCTGTTCTTCCTGCTGCTGCCGCAGAATGGGGACTACGCGTCTCGCGTGCCCCTGAAGTCTGAGTTTGCTGCTCGCTGCAGCAGAGGCCGTTTGCCTCCTGTGCTGCAGCAGCTATCGTCTTTATACGATTTGCTGCCCCAGCAGGCAGCAGACAATCCATTGCAGCTTCCTGATTCAGTCTTAAATGATCCTTTCGGCACAGGTGCTGATGTTGCTGCTGTTGCTGCTGATGCTGCTGTTGCTGCTGATGCTGCTGTTGCTGCTGATGCTGCTGTTGCTGCTGATGCTGCTGTTGCAGCCCCAGGAGTCGCCGCAGCAGCAGCAGTGGGAGCTGCGCATACACGTCAATATAAACACATACGTTAAAAAAAAGACAGGGAAGGTAAACACAATGCAAGCATGCATGCTGTACTGCAGGAAGAGAAGATCAAGGGTTGCCTGGCCATTGGATTATTTGCAAGCAAAACGGAAAAAGATTTGGAAAATTCAAAACGCAGCCCCAAACGGGTATGCAAGCACAATGCATGGAATGCATGCGTGCAGCACATGCATGCAACCAATGCACTAACGGAAACTGACCATATCTGTGGCTGGTGCTGCTTTTGCTGGTGCTGCGGTTCCTGCTGCTGATGTGGTTGATACTGTGACTATCGTTGCTGCTGGTGTTCCAGTTGCTCCTGCCGTTGTTGGTGTTGCTACTGGTGCTGCCATTGCTGTTGCTGGTGTTGCTGCTGCTGGTGTTGCTGCTTGTGTTGCTGTTGCTAATGTTTGGCATTTTGGCTGCTGGGAGAGGAAGCTGAGATGTAAAGAAACATCCAGAGATTGCAACGACTTATCGGGTACTGCAGCAGCAGCAACGGTAGCACCAGCTATTGATGCAGTTGATACCGTTGCTGCTGCACGTACACCTATTGTTGCTGCTGGAGTTGCTACTGCTGCTGTGGTGAGAGTTTGCATGCAGGTGGCGCTGCGGAGTATCTACTTGAGGGAGAGGCGGACAAGGACATGTCCCTGCTGCTGTCTCTCGCCGCTGCAGAGGCAGTAGCAGCAGCAGCAGACGACGAAGGGGCAGCGACAGCAACAGCAGCAGCAGCAGGAGACTGGCAGGAATATGATTTGCCTCCTAGTGCTTTTGCATTGCACAGCGAAGGAGAGACGGGTCTCCTTTTTAGTTTTAATGCTGCATCCCTCCATTCTGTCTCTCTCTTCGACTGCAGCAAAATTCAGCAGCACAAACAAATGCAGCTCAAGGCAAGGCCGCAGCGTGCATCTTCCCGGGCTTTTGACTTGGGGTTTAGTGTTTATGGTTTAGGGTTTAGGGTTTAGCTGTTTTTGGCATGGACTCTCGGCGGCAGTAGGGCAACGTTGTTTACAACGGCGGCAGCAGCAGCCGGTCCTGTGTGCATGCATGCAGGAGCAGACATTTGTTTTCCCTGACAGCACTCAAATAAGCAGAAGAAGGAATTGCGGTGTATCCGCACTTTGCATTCAATGCCCCCAGAAGACACGGCTCTCTATTATATCGAGACTCAATACAACAGCAGCAGCAACAGCAGCAGCAACAGCAACAGGTGTTGCAACTGGTGCTGGTGCAGGTTGTGCAGCTGATGCTGTTGCTACCACTGGAACAACTGGTTCTGCTGCAACAATAAACGAAGCCACTGGCGCTACTGCTAAAGAAAAGGCAGCAGCACCAGCGAAAAGGGATACAGGTGTAAGTGCAGCAGCGGCTGCTGCTGCTGCGTTTGCTGCTTCAGCAACTCCGACAGCTGCAGCGGGTGCTGCAAAGCCAGCAGCTGCAGCCAACAGACGCAAGACAGAGGGTTCTGTAGTCAGCGGTGAAGCAGAAGCAGCAGCAGCAGAAGCAGCAGAAGCAGCAGAAGCAGCAGAGGCAGCAGAAGCAACAGAAGCAGAAGCAGACCCCAGAGCTGCTGCTGCTGCTGCTGCTGTAAGTGCTGCAGCGGCAGACACTTGGGGCTGCCGAATTGATGACACTTTTGCTGCGGAGGCTCATATAGATGATAACGTCAAGCTCATAATTAGGTGCGTGCTGCTGCTGCTGCTGCTGTTGGTGCTGTCTTTGTTAGTGCTGTTGCTGTTCCTGTTGCAATTGGTGCTTTCGTTGGTGCGGCTGCTGTTTGCGCTGCTGCTACTGCTCCTGATGCTGCTCTTCCTTTTGCTGCTGGGGTTAGTGTTGATGCTGCTGCCGCTACTGTTGCTGTTTCTGCTGATGCTGTTGCTTCTGCGTTGCTCTCTAGCGATAATTAATGCCTTCAGGGCATGTTCTATATATATATATATATATATTGTTTGTTGTCATCAGAAGAGACAAGGATGGGAAG